AGCTCGCTCCGCAACTGCGGCAGACGTCTGAGAACTGCTCTGGCGGGGCGTCGAAGAGGCCGCACAGGAAACGAACATCTTGGGCATGGATGGTTTCGATGGCTTCCCTCACGAAAGGCCCCCCCCCCCCAACATGTTTGCTCTGCTTGCGTGATTTTCGGTTGAAGAGGATGGGGAACCGCGTGCCTGGTCATTACGGCGAAACCGAGCACCGCGGCAGGATTCCTCTCGGAGCCCTTCAGGCGAAACCGCACGATCGTGAGGGCGTGGGTGGCCCCAACGACGCTTGCCGCAACTGCGGCCTCACTGACAAAGCGCGGGCGCCACGCAACGAGGCCAGTCTTGTCGAAGAGCTCCGCCATAAGGCTCGCCGCTGCTGTTGGGCCCGTTGTTCTTCACCGCGATGGCGCCCACGACGGCGCCGTGGAAAGTCCCATGAAGGGGCGCGGGGTCCGCTGACGCAGGTTCCCCCCGAGGCCGAAGCACCTCGACGTCCCGCGCGACGATGGAGATCCCCGATTTTTGGGTATCGACAGCGGCGAAGACGTCTTGCTTGGTGGCCGCTGCAGTGATGGCCAGCACAATCACAGTCATGGCGAGGGTGGACGGCACCTTGAGGCCGCCCACTGCCCTGGTGAGCCCCTGGTTCCACGTGGGCGCCGCCCCCATGTGCCTGATGCCCTGGGCCCGCTGCTTCTTGCGCGGTGGCTCCTCTGAGCCCCGCAACTGCGGTCCCGACGAAAACTCAGCGCTACCCCGCGACTGCGGTTCCGAGGGAAGCTGCAGGGGGGGCGGCGTAGGAGACGCCGCAGGAGCTGGCCTCTTCTGCGGGAACCGAGCCTTCGACGCGGCCGCAAGGGCTTGGTCCTCGGGGGCAGCGGCGGCCGCCCCCTTAGAAGCGGCCTCGTCATCGGGCCCAGGCGAAGACGAAGAGAGAGGTACTCCCGCAACTGCGGTCGGAGCTGCCGCGTCAAACGGACTAAGAAGTATTTGCGCAACTGCTGTCCTGGCGGAAGCTTTGGCAACTGGCGGCGCCGGGCCCCGCGCGCGCAACTGCGCTCTGGGAGCTCCGCGCGCGCGGCGCAACTGCGCCCCCCTGCGCCTCGGGGCACTCCGAGACCGCTCGCGCGGCTGCGCCGCGGAGGAACTTGCGCCTGTCGGCGGCGGCCGCCGCCGACCCCTGCTGCAACTCGACGCCGAAGTCGCCTCGCGCGGCGCTCGCTCGGGGGATCCGCCACTGCGGCTTTCTCCTCCCCGAGGGCTGCGCGGCGCTCGCTGGGGGGATTCGCCACTGCGGTTCTCCCCCCTTGCAAAGCGCGCTTCCAGGCGGCCCCGCAGCGCCGCCAGCATCTCCCCATGGGTGACCTCCAACTGCGGCATGCCGCCGCGAGAAGCGCGCCCCCCCAACGGATGCTCGGACACGGCTGCGGCGAATGAGGAAGAGGGCGACGGGCGCGAAGGCCAGGATTGGCAATTGCGAAGAGGACAGCGAGGAGGACGACAGAGGGAACGAGGACAACGAGGGTGGCATCCAGAACGCAAGCATGGTAGGACACGACTGGGCAGGAGGAGGAGGAGGGGGGCGACGAAGGAGAATCGAGGAGAGATATAAAACGACAAAGTCGGACCAAAGGGCCTGACATTGACGAAGGGGAATCCAGAAGAGATAATTGATTCGGCGACGACAAGAGTAAGACAAGATGAGCCGTGGAGTTTTTCTTCGCGACTCTTCGCGCGAGAAGCCGCGCGCCGCAATTGCGTTTCCGCCTGCCGCAACTGCGGACGAGCCCAGATAACTGCTGACTGACTCAAAGGAAGTGAAGCGCGGACGAACCGCCTGCGGAGTTCACTCGCGCGGGCGCCGCAACTGCGGTCGGACGCATGCGGAATGCGAGCGGGGGCGCCGCAACTGCGGACGGCGACGCGCGAAGTGAGTGAAAGGATCGCGGCGTCACGAGATCGGTTTCCGCAACTGCGGTTTCAAGCCCTCTCCCACCTCGGTTGTAGCCCAGCTCCTTCGGTTGCGTCGAACCGCCCCGATATTGGCTCGGCGTGCAATCTCTTGTCGCACGACTACGCGCCACGTCCCGCGCCCTTGCCGAGGCCCGCCCCCGGGGGCTGCACGGGCCCCCAATGAGGCTCGACCTCATACAGGCTGAACTTCAGACTGGACTATTCCGGGCGAGCGCGATTGCCTGAACCGTCGTCGCGGATGAGGACGGAATCCCACACGGGCAAGCGGACTGCCTGCGCTTCTCCTCTGTCCACCCCTTTGGCGTGCCTCTCGCGGTCGCAACTGCCCGGGCACGGGCGAAACTCGCACCTGACCAATCCGCGACCGCGGTCGTTGTCAGGGCCGCACACGACGAGTTCCATTGTGGCCGCGTCCATCTGCGCGACCAGCTGCAGCCAAGACCACGAGACCAGGCCTGCGTGGCCCCGCTCCCAGTCCCTGTTGCGTCCTGCGCCCCATCCGCGCCCTTTGCGCTTGATAACGCGCGAAATCTGCTCCACAACTGCGGGGTCAAAAACAAGAAACCGGCCGTTGAAAGGGCCAGCTGGGTTTTCGTACTCTTCGCGGCAGTACTTCAAGGCCGCGCTGTGCTGCTTACAGTTGCCGCGCCAGCGCGCCGCGCAGGTTTGGAAGTACTCCAACGTGTGCACCCCAGGGCGGCTTGCGTCCGCAACTGCGGCACCTCCTCGCCCTGGGACATGCGCCGCTGCGGTTTTCCCCTTGCCCTTCGCGTCGTCTGCCGCTCGCCCTGCGGGGGCGCCCTCTCCTTGGACATGCGCAACTGCGCCTTGCCATTGGTTTTCGCGGCCGCCTTCCCATCCGCTCCAGCGGCCGTCTTCCCAACCGCTCCAGCGGCCGTCTTCCCATCCGCCCCAGCGGTCCTGCTCGCGTTCGCCTGCGCCCTCTCCTCCACCGCTGGCGCGGCCCTCCCAACTTCCACTGCCGCCATGTGTTCCGCCGCCACCCCCGCCCCCCCCCCCCGCATTGCCAACCTCCGCCGCTGCACTCCCATCCGCGACTGCGGTCGACTCCGTCGCCGTTTCCCCATCCTTCCCTTCGCCATGCGCCACTACGCCAATCTCCGCCTTGCCATCCACCACTGCGGCCATCCCCGCCGCCCCATCCGCCACTGCGGTCGTCGCGCCATCCACGAGCTGCCCCATCGCCGCCTTTGCCCCATGGAGACTCCGCAACTGCGGCCCTCCGCTTCTCTGCTTCCTCCAGAGCCGCCGTTTCGCACATATTTGCCAATCATCCTGCACTGGCGCGAGCCCGTGCCACCGCCGACGTCGGCGCTGGTTTGAGCCGAACGGCACTGCTTGAGCCGAGCGCCCCCGCCGCGACCGCTTCCCGCGGCGGGGGGGCGGGGGGGCGCCCCAGAACCCAGGGAGGGAGACAGAACGCGCCCCTCCAAGATGCCCCCCCGCGACCGCTACTCGAAGCGGGGGGGCGCCCCGGAAGGGCGGCGACGACGGCGGCGACGGCGACGACGGCGGCGACGGCGACGACAAATACAAACATATATACCAATAGCAATATATATATATATATATATATATATATATATATATACATACATATACATGCATACATACACACACATACATACATACATACATACATACATACATACATATTTATATGTATACATATATACATACATACATACATACATACATACATACATACATGCATACATACATACATACATCCACCCATCCGTACATACATACATACATACATACATACATACATACATACATACATACATACATATAGATATGCAAACACCCCTGAAGGCAGAGGGGCACAGGGGAATCTTCGATGTTGAAATAATTACTCTGGATCGCCGCAGCTGCGTTTTTTTTGTCCCGCTGGGCCTCCAGAGGCCGAAATTGATGAGAAAAACCTCGCCGATCCTTCCTCGAACCCCTCCCCATCCTCCTTCTCCTCCACCTCTTCCCCCCCTGGGCACAGCGTGGCGACGGACAGGAGCCATCGGCGCACCTTGCAACAGCCCTCTCCACCTTCTCCTCCTCCTCCTCCTCCTCCTCCTCCTCCTCCTCCTCCTCCTCCTCCTCCTCCTCCTCCTCCTCCTCCTCCTCCTCCTCCTCCTCCTCCTGTTCCTCCCTGCACTCTTCTGGCCACAAATCCGCATCGTTCAAAGCAGTCCCAGGGGACTGCTTTGAACGTTGCCATTCTTCAAAGCAGTCCCCGGGGCCTGCTTTCAATCGTCCTCGATCGTCCTCATTATAAGGGCCTCTGGATTACGGCCAGCTGGAGCGGATTGGGAATTTGCTCAGGCTGCTGTTCACGCTGCAAGAGAGCGAAGGGGAAAAGAGGCCCTCTTCTCCTTCAAGAGGGAGCGGTCGCGCGGGGGGAGAAGGAGGGAGGCGCTCAGACGTGGAAGAGTTCTGCGGTGAGCGGGCCTGAGCGGCCAGCCATGGCAGCGGGGACCGCTGCTTCTCCAGACATGTTACGCCTTGATTTGTTCAATTTGCAGTCTCCGAGAGTTCCGACCCCTTCCCCACGGGCAATTTTCATCCGGGGCCCTTTTTTGACTGGCCGGCGGGGCCCAGCGGGGGCCCACAGAGACCAGGCATGGCAAGAACACCTCCCGTCGTGGTTCGTTCGCGGCGCGAAGATGTCAGGGCTCGGGGTCAGGAGTCGACCCCTGGACCTGCTCTGGGGTGCGGTCTGACCAGGACATCTCGAGGCGGATTTGGCTGTGGCAACGGGCATCCTCCCCGAGACCCCCCCCAGAAGGCGAAGAGCTGCCAAGAACCACCGAGCCTCGAAGAATTCGAATCGCCATCGCTCGGAAGCCCATTCCCCGTGCATTGTTCGGTTTCGTGCGTGTTTTTTCTTCGCAGGATGACCCAGAATGCTCCTCGACGATCCCTGCCGAGGGAAAACGCACACATCCGAGCGATGCCAAGCGATGCCAAGTCGAAGGGAGAGGTCCCAAGCTTGCACGGCCCGCCACCTGGCCCAGATGCCTTCCAGGTCCCCCACGAAGCCGTGCGCGCGGATGATGCTGCCGAACGTGTGCGCGCCGCTCACCTCTGGCAAGGGTGTGGGGAAACGCGCCGCAGCAGAAGTAACAGGGAGGAAGGAGCCCTGAGATCCTGGCGTCTCAATGTTTCCGTACCATGCTGTGTTGGGTCCTCGTTTTGAAGGGACAGCGCCCCGCGTTGTCCTCCTCTTCCTCCTCCTCCTCCTCCTCCTCCTCCTCCTCCTCCTCCTCCTCCTCCTCCTCCTCCCCCGCCTCCCTTCTCCCATGCGTGCCTCTCCCCTCTGCATGTCCATTTCGGCACTCTGCCCTCCGCAAGCCCATATCGACACACCCCTCACACGGTTCGTGACCCCGTGGGGAGCTCCACCCAAGGCCCAAATGGCCGCGTTCACATGCGTCCACCCCGCCCTCCGCATGCCCATTACGGCACACCCCTCACACGGTTCGTGGCCCCGTATGGAGCTCCACCCAGGGCCCCAATGGCTGCTTTCACAAACGCCTACCTCACTCACCGCATGCCCCTGTCGGCACACCCCTCGCACGGTTCGTGGCACCATAAGTAGCTCCAGCCAAGGCCCCAGCGGCCGCGCTCACATCCGTCCACGCCGCTGACCACATGCCCATTTCGGTACACCCCTCACACGGTTCGTGGCCCCATAAGGGAGCTCCACCCAAAGCCCCAATGGCCGCGTTCACATGCGTCCACCCCGCCCTCCGCATGCCCATTTCGGCACACCCCTCACACGGTCCGTGGCCCCATACGGAAGCCCCACCCAAGGCCCCAATGGCAGTGTTCTCATGCGTCCACCCCGCCCTCCGCATGCCCCTGTCGGCACACCCCTCATACGGTTCGTGGCCCCATAGGGAGCTCCACCCATAAACCCAATGGCCACGTTCACATGCGTCCACCACGCCCACCACATGCCCATTTAGGCACACTATTCACACGGTTCGTGGCCCATGGGGAGCTCCACCCAAGATCCCGATGGCCGCGCTCACATGCGTCCACCCCGCCCACTGCATGCCCAGTTCGACACACCCCTCACACGGTTGCCCCGTAGGGAGGTCCACCCAAGGCGCCAGCGGTTGCTTTCACATGAGCCCACCCCGCACACCGCATGCCCATGTCGGCACACCCCTCGCACGGTTCGTGGCACCATAGAGAGCTCCACCCAAAGGCCCCACTGGCCGCGTTCACATGCGTCCACCCCGCCCTCCGCATGCCCATATACATACACCCCTCACACGGCTCGTGGCCCCATAAAAGGGAGCTCAACCCAAGGCCCCAGTGGCCGCTTTCACATGAGCCCACCCCGCACACCGCATGTCCATCAATTTCGGTGCACCCCTCACACGGTCCGTGGCCCCACAAGAGAACCCCACCCAAGGCCCCAATTGCCGTGTTCGCATGCGCCCACCCCGCCCACCGCATGCCCATGTCGGCACACCCCTCGCACGGCTCGTGGCCCCCATGGCCGCGTTCACAAGCGTCCACCCCGCCCACCGCATGCCCAATTTCGGTACACCCTTCACACGGTTCGTGGCCCCATAGGGAGCCCCACTCAAAGCCCCAATGGCCGCGTTCACATGCGTCCACCCTGCCCACCGCATGCCCATGCCGGCACACCCCTCACACGGTTCGTGGCCCCATAAGAAATCCACCCAAAGCCCCAACGGCCGCATTCACATCCGTCCACCCGCGCACCGCGTGCCCATTTCGTCACACCCCTCACACGGTTAGTGGCCCCATAGGGAGCTCAACCCAAGGCCCCAGTGGCCGCGCTCACATCCGTCCACGCCGCTGACCACATGCCCATTTCGGTACACCCCTCACACGGTTCGGGACCCAATAAGGGAGCTCCACCCAAAGCCCCAACGGCCGCGTTCACATGCGTCCACCCCGCCCTCCGCATGCCAATTTCGGCACACCCCTCACACAGTCGTCGTGGCCCCATAAGTAGCTCCAGCCAAGGCCCCAGCGGCCGCGCTTACATGCGTCCACGCCGCTGACCACATGCCCATTTCGGTACACCCCCCATACGGCTCGTGGCCCCATAGGGAGCTCCACCCAATGCCCCAGTGGCCGCGTTCACATGCGTCCATCCGCGCACCGCATGCCCATTCTGGCACACCCCTCACACGGTTCGCGGCCTCAGAAGGAGCATGGCGCCCAAAGCTCCAGAGGCAGGGCTGACAAGCGCCCACCCCGCCCACCGCATGCCCATTTCGGCGCACCCCTCACACGGTTCGTGGCCCCATGGAGCATGGCGCCCAAGGCCCCAGTGGCAGGGTTCGCATGCGTCCACCTTGCCCACCGCATGCCCATGTCGGCACACCCCTCACACAGCCCGTGGCCCCATTAGGGAGCTCCACCCAAGGCCCCACTGGAAAAGTCCGCATGCTGTTCCACCCCCCATGTCGGCACACCCCTCCCACGGTTCGCGGCCTCATAGGGAGCTCCGCCGAAGGCGAAACTCACAATTGCGGCACCCACAACTGCATATGGTCGGGTCTTTCGCCAGGCTAATTTCGAGCAGGGAGCTTTGACCCGCTTTCCTGCCTTGGGACCCTCGCAAATCGATGCGGCCCGAAGCTTTTTCGATTCGCGGGTCGAGAGCGCACCTCTTCCGGTCGAAGCCAAGCGGGCCGTGCACAGCTTGAATTAACAGAGAGGGGGGGGACAGAAGGAGGGGCCTCACGTCAAGGCCAGGAGGGGGCAAAGCCCCGGGGTCAGGCGGTGCCGAAGACGATGCGTTTGCAAAGGAACGCCTTGGACAGGAACCCGGCGGCGAAGTACTGAAATAAACAAAATGGTGTGGTTGGTGGTGCCGTCAACGGCGCGTCATGTACAGCAGCCTCAAGTGGCGGCGGGAGAGGATTCGCCTTGTTTCCAAGAGGCGTCGACCAGGGAGGGTAGAGAGCATCGCTGAGCCGAAGTGCAACGTTGTGCCACCGAACAAGATGCGGGAGCGGGTGGCCCAGGCCGTGGTTGTCCAAGGTGCCACGGATTCAGGGCACGGGAGCCACAGTCTGAGGCGCGGCAGTCAGGACATGCCAGGAACATGCCGCCTATAACGACCGACGGGGTGCGATGCGGCTCGAAACACGCAGCTGACAGATGGGGTCCAGGGGCCAGCTCGTGTTTTTTGTGCCCTGATTTACGTCCCCACATGTTTGGTGGAGCTATGGACTTCTTCCTTCCCGCGTCGCACTCGCGTTTCCTCTTCATTCCCCCTCCTTCTCCTTCCCACGCAGCACAGCGCAGCACAGCGCATCGTAGCACAGCACAGCACAGCTCAGCACACATCACATTGACACACAGCACGTACATAGCACAGCACAGCACAGCACTGCTCAGCACAGCTCAACACAGGACTGCACAGCACAACCCAGCACAGCACAGCCCAGCCCAGCACAGCTCAGCTCAGCACAACCCTGCATAGCACACACACACACACACACACAAGCACGCAAACACACAAGCACATGGCACGCACACCACGCATCACATGCGCGCAAACAAAAGGTGCGCAAGGGGTGGTCCCTGAGGGCGGCCGCTATGCGTGACGGTCGTCCAGGGCAAAGCAGTCGTGGCATATTCTCGACACCATAAAGGGTGCGCGCGGGGTGGTCCCTGGGGGCGGCCGCTACGCGTGACGGTCGTCCAAGGCACAGCACGCGCGGCGTTTTCTCGACACCACAAGGGAGTGCGCACGGGGTGGGTCCTGAGCGCGACCGCATCCGTGACGGTCGTCCAGGGCACAACAGGCGTGGCGTTTTCTCGACACCATAAGGGGGTGCGCACGGGGTGGTCCCTGAGCGCGGCCGCTATCCGTGACAGTCGTCCAAGGCACGGCAGGCGTGGCATATTCTCGACACCATAAGGGGTGCGCGCGGGGTGGTCCCTGGGGGGCGGCCGCTACGCATGACGGTCGTCCAGGGCACAGCACGCGCTGCGTTTCTCCACGCCACAAGGGGGTGCGCACGGGGTGGTCCCTGAGGGCGGCCGCTATCCATGACTGCCGTCCAGGGCACAGCAGTCGTGGCATATTCGACACCGCAGGGGCTGCGCACGGGGCGGCCGCTATCCGTAACGGTCACCCTCGACACCACAGGGGTGCACACGGGGTGTCTGAGCGCGGCCGCTATCCGTGACGGTCGTCCTGGCCTAACAGACATGGCATATTCTCGACACCACAAAGGGTGCGCACGGGGTGCTCTCCGAGCGCGGCCGCTATCCGTGACGGCCCAGGGAGCAGCAGGCGTAGCGTTCTCGACACCACAAAGGGTGCGTACGGGGTGGTCCCTGAGCGCGGCCGCTATCCATGACAATCATCCAGGGCACAACAAACGTGGCGTTTTTCCTCGACACCACAAAACGGTGCGCACGGGGTGGTCCCTGAGCGCGGCCACTATCAGTGACGGTGGTGTTCAAGGCACATCGGTACGCAAACTTGCTATCCGTGCCGGTCGTGCTCAGGGCACAGGGGGATGCAAGCGAGGTGACTGGTATCATCACCCAGATTGTTTCAGCCACCTTGGCTCATGCCCGCTCAAACCGTTCGGGTTTGCACGCAGGCGTGTTCGCGCCGGTGATTGTCCGTCAAAGGTACGGCCCCAGTCATGGCTCCCAAAAGTGCCATGTCCGCGCTGCCGCCTCCGTGCGAGCAACTCAACAACTCCATGCTAGAGATGGGCGCCGAAGTGAGTTTGGATGGTTTCCGCGAACATGTTGACAGGCATGGGAACGGCTTGGTACGCAACGCATTAAACGCTTACCAGCGACAGCTTCTAAACTGGTGGCCCGAGACGCTTCTCAGCAGATACAATGAGTTGCCACGTCAACGAGGCGCCGACGATGCCAGGAGGCAGTGTCTGGTGGGGTATCTGCAAAGGCCTTCTTGGGGCGGATTCCCGAAAGACGTTTCTTCCGGTTTGCCCGGGGGGGCGGGGGCGGACGGCGGCCCGCCGTGCATCCAACGCGCTGCCATTCATCAAAGTATGCCGTTGTTCCGCCATCCCGCCCGCGGAGGCATCCCTGCGATAGCCCCGCCCGTGCCCGACGCTGTCCCCGGCGCAGCGCCCGATGCCGATCCAGAAGGCGCGCCTCCTATGACGAAGGCCCAAGTGCGAGTCACGGATAGTCGGTCATTGGGCTGGGCTCTGCGACAGGGGCCACCGATGTGTTCATGGAATTATGATTGCGTTTACGGCTATCGCAACGGCCTGTACAGGCGATTTGTCATATGTTGCATTGGCTTGAGGCGCGGTCAAAAGATTTCATCCGAAGACAGCGCTCCGTGTTTTAATATATCTTGGACGCTGCCAGAGGCTTTTCGCCGAAGGTTGCGTTCCTTCGGATGTTTCTTCCTCTCAGATCTGATCAGAGGCCTTCCGCCGAAGATCGCGTTCCATAGTGGTCGTTGCCTCGTGGGCGCCGCAGATCGCGTTCCATGTGTATTGAACAACAACTTATCCTATCTCCTCTCCACTCTCCTCCCTCCTCTCCCCTTGACTGGCGTCACCAACGGTATCGGCGGGGCAACGGCCACCAACATCATTCCCACACGCTTCACTGCAGCTATCACCGCTCCAGCCATAATAGAAGTATGTGGGGTTCCTCGGTAGCATAATCTTATCGCGCCGTCAGATCTCAGGGAGTCGGGAGCGTCCAAGCGGGGGCGTCCAAGAGGGGGGATCGCAAATCATGGCCCCATGCACGTGTGTGGCTCCAGGCCGGGTAAGAAGATGAGGCCATGAAATCTGGGCAGACTTCATGACCCCGGCCATAATATGATCCCCCCCCGAGTCATCCCCCCTTTCGGCCGCCCCCGACAGAGGGAGCGAGGGGGGAGGATCAGAGGAAAAAACTGCATCACCATTAACTTTCGGAGGTCCGCGCAGAGTTCTTAGATCTGCGCTGGACCCTCCGTTTCCGCGCGCGGAGCGTGCCAGGGGCGACGCCGAAGGCGCCGCGAGGGTGGGATGTTTCCGTGGGGCTACTCAGCCCGAACAAGGGGCCAATAAGCCAGACTGAGCCGGATTGGGGCTCTGATTCAGCCCAGGTAGGCAGGGATAAGCAGGATCGAGCAGAATTGAGCGAGGTTATGTCAGAGTAGGCCGCGCCGATGCCGCATTGAATCTCCCAGGGTTGCTGCCACTGGAGCCTTCGGTGGAGCTTTGTATGGGGCCAAGAAACGTTAGCCGGGTGCGGCGCAGTGGGCGGGGAACCGCATGTAGACTTTGCCACCGGGGCCTTCGGCGGAGCTTTGTATGGGGCCACGACACGTGTGAGGGGTGTGCTAAAAAATGGGTACATCCTAAGGGGTGCGAAAAGAAGAGTGAACAAGGAGAAGGCGGAGGAGGGAGGAGAGGTGAGGGAAGGAGAGGGGAAGCAGTGGGGTCTGGGTCTCGTCCTCGTCCTCCTCTAGCCTCCAAGCTCCTCCTCCATCCTCCTCTCCCATCCCCATTCCGCCTCCCCCTCCTGCACTTCCGCCTCCTCCTTCCTCCTACCCCGTTCGCACTCCTTCTCCTCCTCCGTCCTCCACCTCCTCCTCCTCCTTCCCCTCCTGCACCACCACCAACACCCCTTTTTCCTCCTCCTCCTCCTCCTCCTCCTCCTCCTCCTCCTCCTCCTCCTCCTCCTCCTCTTTTCCTCCTTTTCTCTCTCCCGCTCCTTCTCCGAAGGCCTCCACGAGCTCTAATGGGCCAACAAAAAAGGTCGCCCTCCCCGAAAGCCTCCTCCAGCCGCCCCCCCTCCCTGCCCGACGGCGAGAGCGCCTGAAAGCGTCGATCAGACGACGACGACCGACGCCAACGACGATCGAGGACGGTGGACGACACCTGCGACGACGACGACGACGACGACGACGATCGATGCGGACTGGCGACGAAGAAGATCGACGACGACGACGACGACGACCGACGACGACGACCGACGACGGCGGAGCCCGGCCTTGACGCCGCCGAGGCCGCCCCGCTTCTGGAGCTGCGCTCGCAGGAGGTCCGCGCGGTCCGCGCGGATGCACGCCTCACACACCGACGACAGCAGCACCTCTCCGCGGCCGGGCCGCCGGAGGTCCAAGGAGAGAGCTCCTCCTCCTCAAACTCTTCCCTCCTCCTCCTCCTGCTCCTCCCTCCTCCTCCTCCTCCTCCTCCGCCTCCTCCTCCGCCTCCTCCTCCCCCTTCCCACATCTGCCTCTGCCTCCTCCCGCCTCCCTCCTCCTCCTCCTCCTCCTCCTCCTCCTCCTCCTCCTCCTCCTCCTCCTCCTCCTCCTCGTCCTCCTCCTCCTCCTCCCTCCTCCTATTATTCCCAACTCCCCCTCTTCCCCCAGAGGGGGGGGAAGAGGGGGGGGGGCCGAGAGTTGAGGAGGCAACTCTCACGTATCCTTGTCTGTACCAGGGAGGCGTCGTGACCGAAACAATGTGACCGAAGCTGCCGCCCGAAATTGTCCGACCGCGCCCGAGCGTGACCGAAACGTTTGGTTCGAAGCCAAGACGATTCACAATTACGGTCGCAATTTCGTTCACAAAACATTTTTGGTCACAGTTTCGGGCGCGTTTCTGGTCACCGATCTTTGTTCGGTCAACTACCTTTTCGGCTGATAAGGGCGGGGTGCCATGACAATTCTTTGGATGAAACAGGACCAGCCAAGATTAAATACAGAATGGGCGGGACCAAGCGGCGTTGGGCTAGATCGTCCGGGATCAACCGCCAATTTTCCCGGCCACGGATAGATCAGCACCGATGCTGAGATTAACTTGATGTTCATTCTGGGGACCTTCCTTGAGCCATTTGCTCCACTCGTGCGTCGAAGCTGCGTCGAGCGTCCGTCGACTCGAGTCGAACCTGAGTCGGACTTGAGTCGAGCCTGAGTGGTACAAGTGTCACATGGGAGTCGAAATAGTCGAACTGGGGCCGAATTAGATTCGAACATATCTGCCAGGTGGGCCCCACAAAGGTCCTCAAAAAGGGAGAAGCAAACTGTCGGAGGCCCGCGCGGGTCTCCTGCATCGGCGCGGGGCCCTCCCTGGCGCGCGGGGCGCGCAAGGGGCGGCGCCGGAGGCGCGGCCAGGGGGACCCAGCTCACGCCCACGAGATCCGCGCGGACCTCCGAGAGCTGATATGTGCGAGTTTTCTAGCATCCGGCAAAAAGGGGAGAGGCAGGCTCCTGGGGGGGGGAGCACTGGCCTGTAATCAAAGATGTTTCGTCGATGAAGTTGGCGGTGGGCCCTCGAGAATGATGGGCCGATTTTCTACTACCACGACTACTGTAGGTAGGAGAGGGAAAACGACGAGGAGGAAGAGGAGAAGGATAAGGCCGTTGGAGGTCTATGTCTCTAGCTGCAGAGAGCTTGAAACACTTCGCAGCCCGTTAGCAGGGAGATCCTACTCAGTATCGTTTACGTGAATAGCCGAAGCAGGGAGGTCGGCGCTGCTGCCTTCGTGCAGCGCGCGCTTCCCACGGGAATGCCAAACAAGTGCGGACCGAACGCCAGCTCCACGAGAGAACTCCTCCTCTGCCACCGCCACCTGCTCCCCCTCGTCCCCCGCCCCTCCTCCTCCACGGACTACTGCACGATGTACCGTCTCTTATCTCTCCGCGGAATCCTCTGTCCCGAAATGGGGCCGAGTGGCAGAGACGCCGAGGAGCCAGGAAGGGAACAGGAAACGAGGACAGCCGAGGAAAGGCAAGGGACAAACAAGCAGCCGAGGCCCCCACCAGGGGGGAGGGAAAGAGAGGAGATGGGGCAGCCGCGGAAGACAAAGCCTAGCAAACGAACTGATATGTGCGACCATTGCAATCAATAGCGCCGACCTGCAACCATGTTCCTATTGCTGCGTACACCTCATGCCTAGGATAATTGTGTTCAAGCCGCAACATGATGTCAGAAAAATGCAGTTCTGCACTGTCTAGGAATATTTCGTATACCTGGCCCAAAAACTTTGTAAACGCGGTTCTGGTGCCCTTTTCCTCGGCCCTCGTTTCTGCTGATGTGCCCATTTCTGCTGAATGACTGCCAACACCCAAATTCTCCAGTTCGGTGCTGTCCTCCCCAGATCGCAAAAAAAAATTACAATCGGATGCGCACTTGCCCCTCTGTCCCGGTCTGTCAAAGGTGCACAGTGGATCCACGTTCCAACTGATGGCAAGTGTATGTTTGGTGTTGTGTTGGAGCTGCTGCTGAAAAATGCAACAACTGTCCTCCTGTTTTTTGATCAACACAGTATCCCACAGTATCTGTTGTTCGATCGTTGCCTCCGTTCGCGCTTCAACATGTGTAGTATGGTACATCGAGCCTCGTCGGTCCCTGAATAAGTACAAATAACATGTGTAGTATGGTGGGGAGCAACTAGCGTATGGCGAATCCACGTGCCCACTGACGGCATTTGAGCGTAGCTTGAAACATGTTGGTGGGGACAATCGGCCTGCACTAACGGTTCCTGACCTGGATCGTCCAATCTCACTTGTCCCATGTCTGTTGAGGCTGCTTCCAGAAACTTCAGTATTGCTAACTTGGCTTCCTGAGTTTTCGCGAGTGCGTGCGACGGAGTCTGTCTCTGCGTCTCGCACTCTTGCTTTTCGAGGTCACACTGTCGATTCGAAATGCGGCACAAGAAAGCATGGCGGCGGCCATTACGCTGGCGACAACAGTACGGCAAGCAGTACGAACTGGTGAGGGCCTGGGTGCGACTACTGCGGTGCGATCCTAGACTCCGAACGGCTGGTCTATGGTTCGACGCCCTCAAAAAGCAGCCTAGGAGGAGAAGGAGGAGGAGCAGGAGAAGGAGAAGGAGGAGGCGGAGGCGGACTTTCCTTCTCCCCCGTCCGACCTCTGGTAGTGGTGGTGCCCCTCCCCCTCCCCCTTGGGCCCGCCCTCTCCATGTCGTGGAGTCCCGAATCTCCTCCCCGCGGTGCCGTGAATCACCCGCTGTGCGGAGCGACGACCTTCTCCTCCCCGCGCCCCC